AATACTTTGACCTATGCATGGCGGAAAGATATTATACAGGGTGGCCGCAAATAACCATCAAAAAATGGTTTTCCAAATTAAAAAGTATTTAGCATTTTCATTGATTTGGGGATTTAATTCTGTATCATTTCATATATATAACTTTTATTACAAAAATTGGCAGTTTATAATGGACAATTTTCTGCAATAAATCGTGTGTTTTATTTTAAACCTAACATCTAAATCTAATCTAATATCCTATTATAAATAAGTTTTTTAAAATTTTAATTACTGAAATTTAATACAAGATATCCACGGAAAAAAAAAGTAATAAAATTGTTGCTGGGATAGAAATACGCAGTTTTTATTGGATATTTAGTTGTTACCAGCTTTTTTAGAAGAAAAAAACGGCTTTTTGCAGTGTTCAACGGTATTTAGACCTTCATGAATGTTGCATAAGAAATAATACGAGTCCAGAATTAGGCCTATAAGACAGTGTAGGTAGAAACAAATTTTTTCACGAATGGTTAGTGATCTTGAACGTGGTGTGATAGTCAATATTGGAAAACGCCATCCAAAATTATGGTAACAGAAGAGAAGCAATTTGAAGTTCTACTGTACGTCGAAGAAAACAACGAAAATTCTAACAGTTGCATCCTGATATTTACCGTATATTAGTAAAACTAGTGTTCAAAGGACTTTAAAATTTAATAACTACCATCCATTCAAGTTTTTGCCAGTTCAGAAAGTATCCTAACAGCACCATTAATATGGACTTAGAAATTCAAGCTTACGAGTTAGTGAAAGTTGAAATGTTGAGTTTAAGCGCAGCTGAGAGTGACGCTTTAAAACTGAGTGGTGTTAGTGAAAAAACAATTGACATCAAGAAAGAAGCGAAACAGAACAATGGCGAATTTAAATATCCTACATCAAGAAAAAAGCGAGCAAGTCAGTCAAATTCTTGAGATTAAGCAAGGGTTTACTCCTAAAAATGGTTTATCACGATTTTTTTTTCAAAAAGATTTCGTCAACTTTAAGTTCACTTAATAAAATCATTCCACGGGAGAATGATTTGGATTTTGAAAGATATAGGTTTCGAGCGATCACTGGTATTTAAGGTCGATCCAAAAATATCGCCCACAAAATTATTTAGATGAGGGCTTGGTCAATCTAGCTCATAATATTAATTTTGCTTGGTGGGACAATACCATAACAGATCGCAAAGATGCTTTTTCAAAAATGTTGAAATAAAATTTGGGCCCCGGCTTCGAAATTTGTTTGATGCCGGACCTGATGTGCCTTAACCGAAAAATAAGACAATTATTTTGTAAAAAATGAAAATCGGGTAATGCGAACGGGCAGAACTATATCTAGACAATAGTTTCGTGAAATCAGCTTGTTAAAACAATACTAGAAGATAGATGGATAAGAAGCCTTAGTGGTACAGAAGAAGAGGTGATGTCAACTAAAGAGGTGGAAGTTGGTGAAAACTTCGATATCTTTATATGAATTGTCGGGCCCTCACTGGATTGAAGATAGTCAGCGGAGGAATGCCGTGACGTCAAAGTCCGCGTGCTTCGAGAGGTCGCAGACCATTTAAAAATAAAAAGGCGGCGGAAAGTTTACGGCAACATTGTACGCTCGGTGACGACAGATAGAGCAATCTGTGGACGGGAACCGATCACATAATAATACACCGCGGCTCGCTTAAAATAGATTTTATTTATAGGCGATTATACCTATTCACTTAAATGAGAAACTTTTAAAAAATAATAAATTTTACTGAGTATCACGGACCATACAGTTTATATATTTATAAACAAGTCTTTCCTACAGAGACGGACGCAGCTGTCCAATAATAGGAAGCGCAAAATGTCACAAAAAAAGGTACTTTATCAGTGGTCTAGTTTAAATTATTTTTTACCAGCTAAATCTAATTAAGAACTGATTACAGCTTTTCATTACAGTATGTTAATTGATATATCGTTTTAAGTGTCGTTTAAAGGCTTCAAAGCTGAGAGCAAATAGGTCAACATCCAGAAACGCGTTCTCTACCACGTTATAAGTACGGATACATCTGATAATTGGAGAGATAGAACAATAGTTTGAATGATATCTAGATGCAGCGACTGTTTGCCTGTTTCGAAGAATATAAGGATTACAGTTAAAGTATATTTTTTCCAAAACGAAAGGAGATTCAATCAAATTGTTTCCAACTTTATAAAGAAATAATAAATCAAAATTTGTTCTGCGATTTTCCCAAGACTGCATACAATAGATATGAAGGCTTACATTATAACTAAAAAAATTTCGTTGTACACTTCCGAGCCTGACATGACTGTAAAAAAGCAAGATTTTTGTATTATTAAACCCATTAGTCACCCGTAAAATAAATCCAAGACACTGTAGAGCCTTTTGAACAATGTTTTCTACGTGTGTTTTCGAATCATTGCTCCATTTTTGCTGAAAAGAGACGGCCTTAGTATCGTCACACGTACTACATCAATCGATCAAGCAAATCTTTTAATTGCCACGACAAAAAAAAGAATTATTGCGTACTTAACTGTATTACAAATTGATCGGATTGTTGTAATATAAACAACAACGTAATGGACATTGTTGTAAAGAGTGTTCCTCCAAGGCTGCGTTTAATTTTCATTCGATCGGATTAATATACAGGGCGTGGCGCGATTTTTTTTTATTTAAAAAGAAACGAAATCCTACCAATTTTAAATTTGCTTACAAATGTATCTCTATAGCGTGGAAATTTCGACGCCAGATCTCGAAAGAGCCACTCGTTTTAATCGAAGTTTCAACGGAAGCTGTCACATTTAAGGCTCGACGTGATAAATGAGCTTTCGCACCCCTCGTGCGATGACGACATCGAAAATCGATACAAAAATTCTAATTATTAGCACAGGCGGGAGAGGCCTCTATATATCTAGTAGCTAAACGATTGTGAGTAACAAAAATGTACCACAAAAACTCGGTTTCGCTTCTAATGTTTTTGCAAATTGGCCAATCTGTATAGTACTTTCGCAAGTAGCAGTCGATTTTGAACAATTTAGTGTATTTCTCACTGAAAGTTCGTTGCTGATTTGTCAAATATTGATTTTCAGAAACATCGTTATATTTCGCCGACAGGAAGAAATTCCCCCCGGTACGGGCAATGTTTCATTAAAGAAAAGTGTATCGCTCGATTGTATAAAAACTGTTTAGAAGATTTAATTTTGCGATCTGCATGAAGAATAGCGTCAAATCCTATTAATACATGAAGAAAGCGTAAAGTACAAGGACTTATAATTAGGCATAATGATCACGACATGTCCAAAGAGCAATTGGTGTCTAGACTACGAAGTCTATTGCTTGTTATTTATGAAACCCACATAAGCCACGGACAGTTTTTTCGACAACGTTCTTCAAATACCACAAAACAGACAAGAGACCTGTGGAGTCCAAGTGTTTACAAAATTGGCGGCATGAGTATATAACAGCGACAAGAAAATACTGGTCTGAAAATCGTCCATTTACCTTGATGGGACATGGTTTAACACTCATGCCAAAGGAAGGCGATTCTTTCGGAAGCTTCGTCTAGTACAGATTCAGAAAGGGTCGAGTCCCAAATGCTTTGTGGTTTAGGTAAAAACGTTAATAACTCTCGCGTTGGCTACCATTAAGGCACAACGACAGAACTTTATGAAGGAGTGTCAGCTACCTGATATTTCTCCGAATGAAATGATAATAATTGACAATCCGAGCTATATAAGGTTCCAAAGTCATATAATACAATTGAAATTCAAAACAACATGGCAGTAAGTAGTATTTTTTCTTAAAAAGGGCTAAAACAGTTTTAAACACATTAGGTGGCACAAAATCCTTTTCCTACTTTAAGTTTTGGCAAAAAATTCGGTTAATCCTGACAGTTGAGCTTCTGTCCAGTCTCTTATCAGAGGGGTTGCTACTTGATTGCCGAAAAACATTGACAAGACTGGCGACTACCCGCTCATGTGGGCATTGTGGGCAACCAGATGGCTGAACGATAGTTCTCTCTGCAGCTCGAAAAGTGCATTCTCAGCTCGCGAATATAAACGTTAGGAGAAATCTTACCAGGACATTGACATCTAAGAAGCCACATTCATATCACGGGTGTGTTTAGAAGGGGGAACTGCACCAGCTGCGCACTACTGGGGCACAGTCGAGAGTATTCAAGTCATTGAGAGCGAGGACCTATCTAAGCTTCCTGGAGACTACAGGGTTCTTCTAGACCAGGGACCGAATGCGGACAGAAATACTACAGAAACACAATCAATTTAGGTGAAGATGGCGATAGGGGCACAAAACTGGTAATGGAATTATATATAATCTGAATTTTATAATGTATAAGCAGGTAAAACACCATTAGGCAGCCCGCGCCTCAATAATTGAAATATTGTTGATCCCTTAGATACTATGACATACAAAAAGCGATGAAGGAGTATTGTGAAGTGGGCAAAGACCCACGTAGGGTTGTAAGTCACGGAGTAGTAGTAGCTATCTACCAAGTAAAGGTAAACCTTTGATGTCATAATTATTCTTTTCTTTCCGCAGCCCCACCCTGCACCACATCTTTTTACATTGCCGATTTACATAATAGTCATTTATCTGCGAGAGCACACACTAACGAAGCCCAACCAAGTAATTCAATCCGAGCCGATGTCGAAGTTTTTGGAATTATTTCCAAAACTAATAGTTGTTCCTTCAAGGTCCTCGCTAATACATTCAAACCAGCGCAACGCGTACATTTACTATATTTAAACGCCGCACACGAGACGGTTGCGTAATTAAAAAAAAATAAATGACGAACGGGGGAAATGTTTGAACGATAACGCGGCCTCACAAATTCCGAGAATCGTCACGAATTTACCTACGCTTATCGGGGATCTCGTGATCTCGCTTCGAAATTTGACGCCATTAAACGATTTTCCTTGTCTAGGTTTATCTCTCACTATACGCACCATTGAAAATCGAAAATTTCGCGTACTTTCATTCGGCGTTTCGACAAGAAGGGAAGACCAGGTCTAGTGTAAGGAAGTATTTTCAGCCAGAACAAGGCGTTAAAAACGCCGCAGTGCACTCCTAAGACTATAAAAAACTGCCAAGAGGTCTATCATGTTGGGGTGTCGTAGATAGCAGACGAAAGGTAATTAAAAACTAACGTCCTGGCGAGGAAAAGAGTAGAGAATTCACCAGTAGGTCCTACAGATGTTGACTAAATCACGCAGTGATAGAACGGGTCAAATCCGAAACTTTGATTGTTAACTATGGAATATTTTCTAGCTTATTGAATGTTATAAAAACGAAACAATACTTATAAATCCTAAGCTCCTATTAGCATTAGCTGTGATATCTTAAGACATTGGTCGCATTCAGCGGACGTAGCAAAGCGCTCCCGATACGTAGAGGTAGCGATTGCGATTAGGAGCTTGTTGGACATTTGAATTTACATAGCCGTGGCGGAAACGTCCGGTGCATGGGGGGTACCGCAGGGAAGCGTGTTGGGTCCGCTTTTATTTATTATTTATATAAATGATATGTATCAGGTTTTAAAAAACTCATTTGTTAACTTATTTGCTGATGACACGCTTATTTCAGTCTCTGGAAATGATTACAAAGAAATAGCTACCAAACTGAACACCCAAATGCAGTATTTCTACGAATGGCTGTGTCAAAATAAACTGAAATTAAATAGCTCCAAAACCAAGTGCATGGTTATCGGTTCTAAGGTTAACGGTCAAAAAGTCGGGGTATTCTGTGGATATACAGGGTAATAAAATTGAGTTTGTTTCCGAAATTAAATATTTAGGGGTGATTTTGGATCCACAATTATGCTTTAGTAATCATGTTGAGTATCTATGGAAAAAAATTGGTACGAAAATAGCGTTTTTTAACTGTGTATCCCGGTTTTTATCGCAGTGGACTAGGATATTAGTGTATAATAGTATAATTTTGCCTCATAATATGTTTGTTCATTGCTTATATCTTGTACAAAAGAAGATTTAAATAAGTTACAGTTACAACAAAATTGGGTTATGATAATCATGCTGAACTGTGATAGATATACTCCTATAAAAAGTATGTTAGACCAGCTAAATTGGCTAAAAGTCCGGCAGTTCATTAGAAGGGCAAGTTTAATATTGGTTTATGGAATTGCGCACGATCACCAACCAGGCTATCTTAAATTATTTTTGGAAAAAAGGTCAAACTTTTATCAATATAATATACGTTCCAATCAGCACTTCAATGTTTCTATGGTAAAAACAACAAATTTACAGAAAACTCTATTCTACGATGGTGTTTGTAATTTTAATGAACTGCCTAATAATATTAAGGGCGCGCCTTGCCCAAGAGTGTTCAAGAAGAGACTTATGGGGTATTTGCGAAGTTTATAGTTTTGTTTATGCAAATTTTACTTGCTTATGTAAATAGCCAAGTGCTAAATAAATAAATAAATAAATAAATCATGCACTACAAATCCAACATGTTGTGGGGTGGACATCATTTTTAATAGCGGGTTTATTTTTGCTAGGTAGCTGTAGCGAAGCGATCGGTATTGGCAGAATTTGGTCTTGAACGAGGAATCTGGTTTCCACCATAATAAATTTATCTTATTTGCTATTATTTATGATAATATTCGTATTTACAAAATTTACAAAAAAAAAATTTTTAGGATCGCAACGGGAAAGTTTTCTCGAAAACCCCACGAATTTTCGAAGATCGCATGAAGGTATGTCTTTTTTTAAAACAAAGGGTAGTCTTTTTTAAACGCAAATTACACTGACATGAAATAGAGATGCAATTTTTAGTTATTTGCAGAATGTATTTTCACTAAACCGAAGAAATATTGAACAGGATATGGAGAAACCTGAAGAAAACCTACACAGGCATCAAAGACAATATAGGGAAAACTGGAAGGGGTAGAATTTACTAGGAATATTATCACCAGATTGATGAAATACATAGGTAGGACAAAACAGTTAACCTCCCTAACCCAATACCTCTAGAATGGTTCCAGGCATAATGAAAAAACCCCTTCACAGATGGAAACCACTCCAATCAGAGCAACACGTGAATGGCCGCCTAGGATGTTTTATTGGTATTATGAAGGGCTTATAACCTGTTTTCATTTTAGAGCGTTTTGCGACGTCCGCCGAATGCGACCATTGTTAAAATGTTGTGCAGATTCCTGCGCAGGTTTTCCTTCTTCCTTTCTTCCAACTTTACCTCATATAACTCCATCCATGGCGAAGCGTTGCGAAGCCAAATCAATCTTTTCTTTCCTATTATTATAGTTTTCCCGATGATAAATTTTACATCCTATTGTTATTTTGCCTCAGTAACCGCATTTAGGAGTGTTTGCATTATCGGCATTATCGGTTATCATTGCGGTGTCATCTGGGTAACGTATGTTATTTATGTAAATTCTGTTAACTTTAATGTCTATGTTGGATAGTTTTGTGGATAAAATACAGTACAATACTTCTTCATTTTAAACTCATCTGATGTTGTTGGGTTGTGCAGGGCATTTGATTCCAGTATAGGTTGGCTATAGGTCTTACATCTTTATCGTTTAGACTCAGGTCGGATGTTCCCAATTAGAGGAGAACTTCAATAATTTTTATTCTAAGAACGTCATTGATATTGCTGATAGTATACCACCTGCTACATTAAAACTAAACAGCGCCCACACAGATTGCTCCGAAACGTTAGTTGGACTCGATAAATAAAATATTTGTGAGCTAAAGAAGATAGTCATGAACCTTAAGAATAAATCAACCTCGAATGATATTTGCGATGCGAAATTTTTGAAGTCGACTTTTTGTGCGATTGGATACACGCTGTTGCACCTTGTGAATACTTCCCTGGCAACAGGGAAAATCCCCAGGGTTTTAAAAACTAGTGTTATAGTTCCGATATCTAAGGTGCCGATACCAACTAAGCCTGAGGAATTCCGACCCATTAATCTTCTTTCGGTTGTAGACAAAATACTAGAGACTGCTGTCTACAATCAGCTTCGAAGGTATCTCGAACAGCACAACATGATCTTCAAGGTCAATCGGGCTTTAGGATGAAGCACTCATCTGAAACAGCCTTGCAATATGTGTGCTCCAAGTGGCGGTCTGACATTCACGACGGAAATGTCATACTTAGTGTATTTATTGATTTACTGAGGACTTTCGAGACCATTGACAGAAAACGGCTTATTGAGAAACTTCAGAATTATGGTGTGATGGAAATTGCTCTATTGTGGTTTAGGGACTATCTTTGCGATCGGGTCCACGTGACTAAGGTGATTGGCTTCGTCTCACGGGAGATTAGCAGCAAGATAGGCGTACCCCAAGGTAGTGTTCTAGGGCCCCTATTATTCGTGTTGTACATTAACGACATTGACCAAATTGTGATAAATTCTTTTGTGAGTCTTTTGGCGGATGACACACGTCTATCAGTATTCGGAAAGAATTTCAATCAATTTGCTGAAACAATAAATTTCGAACTCAGCCTTTTGCACAACTGGCTTTGCATCAATAAATTAAAATGAAACGTAACTAAGACTAAATACATGATATTTGGTACTAAATACAACTGCAAATTATTCCTGAAAAGTAATTATCAGCCAGTGGGGCATACTAATCAAATGAATTATCTAGGCGTAATGCTTGATTCGCAACTTAATTTCTCCAAGCATGTTGATTTCATGTGTGCAAAGATTGGCAAGAAGATAGGTTTTCTCCGAAGTCTCTCAAAATCTTAGCCATTGGACTCGACTTATTATATTCAATACTCTACTATACTCACATTTTGCTTATTGCAATTCACTTCTAATATCTTGTAACAAGTCAGACGTACAAAGACTTCAAATCTTGTAAAACAAAGCAATGCGAACTATTGTGTCTTGTTGCCGATACACTCCTGTGCGTCTTATGCTTGAATCGCTTAGTTGGCTTTCTATGTCCCAGACCATTGAAATATCTAATATTGTATTGATTTTCAAGATTCAACAGCAATTGCTACCCCCATACTTACAGGAATATTTGATTCCAAGGTGCATGAAACATGCTTGTAAGATTAGATCTAAAAACAACTTCGATATTCAGTTAACCAGAACAACATATATGCAAAAAAATATTTTCAATGATGGCCTGAGACTATCCAATGCACTGTCCTCCGATATTAAAACCTCACCCAATGTGCAGATTTTTCTATAAAAATTGAAAAACATGTATCTGAATTTGAGCTAGATGTATACTACAAATTTTGCATTCCTTGTCGTTCTGTGAATGTATAGTTAAGTAGTTAAGTATTATTATTATTGTTGATATTATTATTATTATTATTATTATTATTATTATTATTTATAGGTATGATTGTGATTTGTTAAATTTAAAATTAAATTATTTTTATGTACATTTGCTTAAATTTTTTTGATGTTTAGTATCATATTCTGCTAATAATAAACTACTTTCAATTTCAATTATTGGTTGTCATCCAGGAACATTGGATTTTGTGCTTTGACAAACCCTTTAGCTTCATGCCAAAGGCGCAGTAATGTAACTATAATGATTGACAAGGATCCGGAGAGTGGCAGGAAGGGAGACAAGTGGATAACTTACCGGCTTTATCGATTTACCTTCAGGTACTGATCAGCTATCTCCTTCGTCTTTTTATGCAGATGGGAGCTATCGTCATTCTAAAGTGGCAGGAATGGAGAAAATAGATAAAGGGATATTTGTAGTCGCTAAAGTAATAAAGTAGTATTAAAGTAGTATTCTGATCAAATTAATTAATAACATGAACGCATAGAGATCTTAACAAGAAAATTAGAAGGATGATATAAAGAGGCACCAGGATAACCATATCAAAGAAAATCGGAACTGGAAGAGTATGAGACAATCGTTGACAAACAAGAAAGTCATCATGATAAAGGGAAGACCAGGGACAACAGAGAAAGGATAGAAATAACATCGCTAAAGTAAGAGAGGAGAATTATAGGAAACTGTGATTCTAGGAATACGCCACCTCCGACATCAGAATTTGAAACGGAAAGTACCAAAGGTTTCTCTGAAATAATGGCCGACATATTCGAGGAGGAAATAGAAAAAGCAATAATCGAAATGGGAGATGGTATTCTCATTCAAATGATAAAGAAGGAGGCGGAAGAGTTACGGAATACTTGAGGTTCCTTTTTAACAAGTGCTTACATGAAGGTAAAATACCACAACAATGATGAAACCCAAACACAATTCTATTATGCAAGAAAGCCGAGTCCTCAGATTCAACAACTATCGTACAATCATATAAAAGCGTTATAAGCACTAGTTAAGAATTGAATTTATAGATACAGATACAGAATCTACCGGAATGCAACCATGACAATAATGGGAGGGATAAAATTTCGCCTAAATTATTTACTCTTGCCTTCGAGGACATCTTTAAATCACTAAATTGGAAAAACCAAGGAATCTCAGTAGACGAAAGGACCTAAATCGCCGCAAGTTTACAGATGACGTACTGTTACTGACTTCAAAAAATGCTGCCAGACCCACATGAGGTATCAACATCAAAGGGTCAAAAAGTGAATTTTAATAAAACTAAAGTAATCACTAATACAAACAATATTCCAATGAAGGATGTATAGGAAGCAGCTATTAAATATGTTCAGGGACTGTGCCGCATTTAAGAAAATCTGTTATATCTTGGAGAATGAGAGAATTAATATACAACTAGAAACAAAAATATTTCAACTCTTGCGTTATTCCAGTCCTGACATTCAGTGCTTAAACGTGGACCTTTACAAGAAAGAATCTAGACTGAATATGGAAGACCATAAAATTGATGGGTAAGACCTCGGAAGAGCGCAAATGCGACAGGAAGATGAGGTAAAGAAGTATGCAGACCATTGAAGAGAAAGACTCATAATAGAGATAACTGCTGACAATAGGAAGATGCCTGCCTATATTCGGATATTAGTCCGGGAGCCCTGAACCTTTTTTCAAAATGATAAGCAACAAGCTAATTCTTTGGAAATCGTTTCATTTCATCAAGACTAACTATACACGCAGGTATAAAATCATGTCAATTTAGTTACCATACCAAAATGATCAGCAACAGTTTAGTTTTTAGCTAAATCTATAGATATTGAAATATATAATTTAAAATTAAATTTGGCCTACAAACTAATAGATTTGGTATAGGGTGGCCACCCCCCCAAAGTTGTATCTATTATTTATTTATAAAAAGTGATGAGCAACATGCTAAATTTTTTACTGTAGTTGGCTAATAATTTTTATAAACAAATGATCACATTGTCCTGCAAATAAACTGGTAGAATTTTTCAGTCCTACACGATAATACGTTATTCATCAGCAGCTGTAGGACACCAAAATTAAATGAAACTTAATGACATTTTCTATCTAAATCAATTAATGTCCTACATAAAAATAGGTAGATTTCGCTAGTCCGACAAAAAATAGGTTGCGAGTTTGGCTCTTGAACATTATTCCTGCTTAACCTCTAAATTACGGTCTAACTTATAAATTTAGTTGAGCGATTAACTTTTTTTTATTCTTAAAATATTCCTAGAGCCATACTGATGCTGTTTTATATATAAGTTGTTTCATTATTTATATTTTAATGAATCAACATTTATTTTTCTACATATTTTTTTTCACGCCCGATTTTTTTTATACTTGTTTTTAACTCAGTATTAGATCGATAAACTTTTGAAAAAGTAAGTGGGTGACTATATGGGTGAAGTGCAAGAGGAGAGGGTAAATAAATCAATTTTTTTTCTATTGACTAATCGATAACAAATAATGCGGTACACCTATTCATTATAATACAAGTAATAAGTAAGTGGGAAAGGGAAATAAAATGGATAATTTTTATTTTTTCCAATGTCTTAGATTAGTTTTGTTGTTAACGTGAAATATTTACAGAATACAATGAAAAACAAAATTGATAAAATAACTTTTATTTAATAATTAAAATATATTTCATGA